GAAGCTGGCGCAGGTGCATACTCACTGCGCTCGAAAGCTGCCGCCCGTTCCGCAATGGACTTGCTGCGGCTAAGCGAACGTCTTCGTTCCACCATAGGGTCCTGAGGTGGCTGCTTGGGCACAGACGCTTGTGGAGGAGTTGCGCCAATCGGCGGCCTCGGCGTCGCAGATCGAGGCACCTCCATATGCACGTCTGGCCCAGGGCTCCGAGAGCTCGCCTTCGGTTTCGGCGCCGGAAGCGGCTTAGGTGTCGGGGGTTCACTCTTGGCCTTCGAAGTTAGTGGGAGTGGGGGCTTTCTAGCCCCCTTCATGTAGATCTTGCTGGAATCCTCCAGCATCTTGCGAGTTGCCTCGCGTGTGCGTTCATCTACTGTCCGAATACGCTCCTCATCTTCCGCCACACGTTGAGCCTTTGTCTCGTCCTTGATGATCGGCTCTGGTTGTTGGGACTGGCTAGAGACGCCAGGCGAGTTTCCTCGCATACCAGGAAGACTAAAGAGCGCGTCTTTCTCTTCCTGGGTCATGGCTACTATTCCCCTTGGAGCCGGAGTAGGTTTCTCTTCTTCTTTCGGATCCAAGTGGCCCAAGATCCCGAGACGACTATTCACTGCTGCGATCTCTTCCGGTGTCATCGGGTCAAGTGGCGGATGGCCCTCTTTAGGAGGGGTTTTGCCCCTGTTGGGGCTCAGGCCTTCGTTGTTTCCAACGGGGCATCCTGGCCTGTGATTCTGGAACGGCTGGGAACAAGGACCACATGCAGCGTGAGGCCTATACTGCTTGCGAGCCGCGATAATATCTCGCAACTGGGTCCGCGCTTCTTGAATTTCAGGGCGGCGGATGTTTGTTGCAAGCTGATAGCCTCCACGGATGGGCCTGCCATCGCCGTCCCTATAGGCAGGATTGCCCTGGCCGAAGGCCGAGTGTTCCCCTTTTCGGCGTCGTGGGTCGTTGTACGGGAGTAGCTGGCCACCTCTTCTGAGAGCGTGTTCCTTTGGGCCAGCCTGTCTCCACTCACGAGGAAGTCGAGCCTGGGGATGTGGCTCTTCTCTGACGCGCGTATGGGAACGAGATCTTCTGGTGTTCTCGTCAGAAGAAGCTGCCGATGCAGCAGGAGCGGCACCCGTTGAGGGTGCTTGAGGAGGCTCCTCTGCGATCCCAGGTGGATCGCTCGATGGAGGCAGGTCTCCCTGCTGGGTGGAGCTCGGCGCAAGTGGCTCTTGTGCCGATGGTGATGATGATTCAGACTCATCAGGGTCGAAATCGACTTCTTCCTCACCAGTCACGTCCATCATGAGGATGGTGACGTCATCCTCATCTAACCCACAACCATCGCCTTCTACTTCTTCTGATGTCGAACTACCAATTATGATGGCCATTGGCGCATCTGGTAAAGGCAGGTTTCCCTGCATGGTCGGCGTCTGGGCGTCGCTCGGCTGTCCTGGAGTAGGAGGCGCAGTCGCCGGCTCAGGGTCATCGACGAGCATAGGCTGCCTAGCAATGTTACGCATGGCCGTATGGTTTGGCCTCATCCCCAGCTCCTGGAGATTCCATCCTGGCGGGGGAAGATCATGACCACGCATAGCCGTTGCCATTTCCAGGGCACGACGCCATCTGCCATGGGAGTATACCAAGTGTCGTTGCACTTCCTGAGGATTTATACTGTCAATGAGAGTCAAAGCTGCCAAGAGTAGCTCTGAGCTACCGCAAGCATCATTATCATTATCTGTCATAATACCAGCTTCAATTTGTTCTTGACTCTCGGGATATGCAATTGCAAGTATCTCGTGCATCCACATGAGGGTCTGCAAAAGTGTACGCGGTCCATATTCGCCTGGAGCAAGCGAACCAGGAGGTATGAACGGAGAACCTGGTTCGCCTGCAATAAAGGCCTGAACAAATGCTTGAGACTCCATTTCAATTAAGTCTTCAATAGTATGGGGATATTCTCCCAGCAGAAAAGGCCTGTGTCCAGGCGGGATTTCGGGCGGAGGTTCGAGGTTCTGTTGAACCTCGGAAGGCGAAGCCTCTATAGTGGTGTCCTCGTCGTCGCTCTCGTAGGCCATGATGTTGCCTGGGTTCCCGAACATCCAGTCGAAGAAGGAAAGAGGCTCGTTTCCGAGCGTACCGTGTTCCACGGGAGTGAGTTCATTACTGCCCGTGACGAACCGGCGGACGTACTCGAGGTAATACGCGTATAATCCATGTCCATACCCCTCGAGCTCGTCAATGTTGTCCATGCCAACGACCCATGTGAAAAATATCTGTTCCATAGCCTCAAAGTCCTGGAGGCTCAGATACTCAATGGATGGTGTGCTTGAGCCGAAATGGACTTCGGACGACATGCCCTTTCCATTTCCCTTCGCTGGACAATCTCGCACAAGATGATCGGTACTACCACGCTCATGACATTTGAGAACCTGGCCGTCTCTACCTCGCGGGTTTCCCCGCCTACCTTTACCTTTACCTGAGGTCTCTCTACGGCCTTTACCGCGGCCTTTTCCCCCAAAGAATATCTCATCATGTTGTTCATCTGAGAGCCTCTGGAGAAATGCCGCGATGCCTCGCCCGTTCAACCTCCGACGACCACGCTTGCCTTTACCCTTTCCTTTAAACTTCTGCGTATCCTCCTTCTAACACGACGCACTGGTTTTCGTGTGAACCTCCTCCACCTTCGTTTAGCCTGTTGTAACAGCCAGAATAAATGCTCAGCACGCTGATTGTCGTTATCCATATTCATGATATCTGACCAATCTAGAGCTTCAACACCATCTGATGATATAGTGTCTGTATCGGTGCCGGAGTCGAAATCTTCGTCTCCTAAATAGGTGGATACACCGTCGGTTAGGGGATTTGATTCCCCCCATAACGAGCGGTGTGGTTGTGGTTCTCTAGAAGGAGGGCTGGTTGCCCAGCTTGGTTGTGATCGATCCCCTGCTAATAAAGCAGTGGATTCTCCTGGGTCATCGGCCCATATGTTTGAGGGCCCGTTTCCAGGCTGGGCTTCAGTAGTCAAGGTAGTGTAGAAATTTCCACTACCAGATCCCCTTCCTCTTCCAAACACGGATCCTATGTTGCCAGGGGATCGTTCGGATAGGTGACCTACCGAACGCATCCTTTCCAGCAACTCATCATATTGTTGTTGTGTTCGAGGCATTTGGTGGTTGAGTGGCTGTAAGAGTTGCATGGCTTTCTGGTTGCCGACGCCTAAGGCGCGGAATAGGATAGTGGTTAGCAGTTGGAAGTTAGGAAGGTCGAATCCCACCGACTGTGCCTCAAGTCGGGCCATTTCGAATCGGGTAAGAGTGACATCGATTCGTTCCCCGTGAGGCACATGGAAGTCGATGAGTTGTGTGCCGGAAGTGAGCTGTCGCTCATCTTCCAGGCGTTCGAACTTCATGCTGAGGAGGAACATGATGTAAGTTACTGGGTCCGTGTGGACCCCATCAATGTCAGCACCGTAGTTTATAATGTCAGGCGGTACCCTCATGGCGAGTGTCCTCGCTAGGCCTCCCAGGCCGCGTTGTATTGCGGCCGCTTGGGCCTGTGGCGTCATACGTCCGCTTGTAACGTTGAGCCACGCGTTGGCCTCGTAAATGTACTCACGAAAAGGTACATTACCCTGAGGGTCACAATATGGGCCATGTGTTTGCCCATCGGTGCTGTTATCTCCCCGACGCATGTGTGCGATTGCTGCCCCCAGCGCGAACCGTATGATAGCGAAAACGATTAGCCCGAGAATGTGTAACGAAGAATGGTTATGATGAGCGGTGTCGCGCTGGGGTAGCGCCTTGTCGAGTCTTCGAGGCGCTCTGTCTGGCGGGTTTCCCCGCCCTTGCTTCAGGTATTGCGTTATTGGCTCGTTGCCGAGCGGTTGATAGTAACGCAATGATGAAGCGTATATGGTACCAATTTGGTCGTCTAGACGTCGTACCTCTCGCGTAGCTTCTTGCTCTTGAATAGATCCTCGTAAATGTACTGGGAGTGGTGGCGCAGGGTAGTAGGTGGTCACGAAGATCGTGCCGAATAATGTGAGGCTGAGAAGAGCAAGAGCTGACCACACGAGAGTGCGGCCAGCTCCGCTACCAAGTCGAAAGTGAGCCTGGTAACTCAAATAGGGCATATAGCCTGTCAAATAGCATCCGATTCCAAGGCGCTGACCGTGGACATCGGATGGCACATAACATCCATCGCTCTGCTGTGAGCGTACAGTATGAGGGGTGGATGGGTAAGATCGGATAAGATCGATGTAATGATCTTTCCAGCACATAGCGAACACTCGCGGTGTCCGGGCAAATAGGGCGCGCGTGCCTTGAGCCCAAGGCAGCGGCGCGCGAGCTATGCTCCCGATACTGTAACATCTCCCAAAGAGCGGCGAAGCGCATGTTTGTCAAGGGATCTTCGGGGTCGTCCACCACCAACCCATAATACATTCCAGTGCGCTTGCTGTTCAGTTTGTTCCAGCGTGCCTTCAACTTGCGGAATATGGCTTCCATGACCACGACAAACAGAAAAGAGCTTATCGGATCCCCCTGTTTCACGCCCCGCAAGATATCGAAGGGTCTACTTCTCTCGCCAGCGATTACAGTGGCTGTCTGCCTTGCGTAGAGGCGCTTCAGCAGATCGATGTATGCGCTCGGTACTCCCTGGTCTGCCAGGGCTGCCCAAAGTGTATCGTGTTCAACTGTGTCGAACGCTTTTTCGAAATCGATCATGCCAATCCACAAATCTACGTTGAACTCGTTGCAAGCCTCGGCAATCAGAGTCGTAGAAATCAAATGATCCACAGTGCTGAAGCCCTTCCTGTATGCGGCCTGGTCGACTGACTGCTCACCAATGATCGTACCGCGGAGGCGGCCACATAGGAGCCGACTGAACAGCTTGTACAATATCGCTAATATCGCGATTGGCCGGTAATTGCCAGGCAAGGAAGCGTCCCCCTTCTTGTGCAGCACAGTGATGCGGGTAGCCAACCACCCGTCTGGAAATTGTTCGCCGGGAACAAGGATCGCGTTGAACGCCTCCAGCATTAGACTCCCCAGCGTTGGGCAGTCGACTTTCAGGAGCTCTGCTTTGACTCCGTGGTCGTCGCCTGCTTTGCCCTTTTTCATCAGCCGGATAGCAGCGTCCAGCTCCTCTGTCGTGAAAGGAGGCACACTCTCTGCCCCTCCGGGCGCGTACACCTCTGGCCTGTCTTGGCCCCTGGTGGTCGCGTACAGGTCCTCGTAAAATTGCGCAAACACTTCGGCGATCGAGGTCCGGTCATTGTGGAGATGCCCGTCCTTGTCCTTCATTTCAGTGATATGGCACTTCGACCGGTTACCTGCCATTTCTTTCAACTGTCTAATACCACGGAACTCCTCCAAGATCCTCTCCGCCTTGCCAAGTTTGGCGTTGACCCGGCGAGCACGGATCCGCTTTTGGATTTCCTTGCTCCATCGCGTCCTGAGGTATTTCTTGCCTGCTGCCTGGAGGTCTGCTGTCTGAAGACTCCTGCGCATAGCTATCATCATGCGCAACGTTTCGTCCGATTCGATAGCTGGCACGGTCTCTGGATTGGCACCTTCGCGCGCCTGGTCGTCCCGAGCTGCGTCCGTCATGCACTTGTTCAACATATTGATCTTGCCGGCCGCGGTCACGTCGCACCACTTGACAGATTGCAGGCGCGCCTCCAGAGATGAGACATACGATGTCCCGGGTTGCCACGCTGGGTCTTTCTTACGTTTTCGCCGGCATCGGCGAGCAGAGGGTAGCGTTAGCTGCAAGCAGACCGGTCTGTGATCAGATCCCACGTCTATGCCAGGTGATACCGTGCAGAGCGAAACGACTGATTGCACTGTGTTGTCTGTGTTGTCTAGCAATTTCACGAGATCTTGACAATCCGAATACGAGCTGACCACCAGCAAACGAGAAAGTGACCAACCAACCAGCATATCCATCAACCGAAAAACGAGCCAACGAACCAGCCAACCAACCAACCAACCGGCCAACCAACCAACTCCAGAAATATGTATCCTAACCCAGCAGCAAGCAAGCCAACGAACCAGCCAGCCAGGCTACATTTTGGGACGTTGTTTTTCCAGGGTGTCTCACACAACGGGCCCTGGGATACACTTTCCTGACCCAGAGTAATTCGTCTTAACCCCGGAAATGTGATAGAACCCTCCAGAAACAAAAACCTCATAACCCATCTCCAGAGTAGGAGGAGGAGGAGGAGGAGGACAATAACAACAGCAACAACAACATTAACAATCATCGTAAGACTGCTCGTTCTTATCTGCTCGCGTGCCATTCCACACCTATGTCCCAAACCCTTGATAACCCACCCTCTTCGTCTTCGATCGCGTCCTCTTAGGGGTGAATCTTTCTTACCTGCAACGTGCAAACGTGTATTTCGTGCAGCACCTAAGGCAGGGGAAGAGAGGACGGGTGGAAGGAAGGGACAAGGGGGAGAGAGGAGAATGGAGCACGAGAGAGAGAGAGAGTAGAAGGAGGGGAGCTAGGAGCAGAAAGCACGTGGCAGAACCAGACGGGCAGATCGGGCGGGTCGACCCTAACAGGCGTGCCCAGGCAACCAGATCGAGCAGGCGGGTTGCTGAAGCGCGCGTCCTGCATGAATCGCGAGGAAGTCTTGAGCGACAGCGCGATTCCAAAAGGAATCCCGTGAGGGAATCCAAAGCGAGAGCGTGATTCCTGAGTGTCGAGGGTGCGGCGCCTGAATGCATTGCGAGGGAGTCCCAATTGACATCGCGATTCTTGAGTGTCGAAAGCGCGACGCCCGAATACATTGCGGGGAAGTCTCACGCGAGAGCGCGATTCTTCGATACGTTGACTGGAAGTCCCTAGCGAGAGCGCGATTCTGCAATACATTGCTAGGAAAAATATCAGGTGGGAGCCGTTCTTGTGTTTGCTGCTGTTGCAAACCTGGGGCCAGGGGCACAGTTTGAGCAGGAAGGCTTTCCCCTGTAAAAGCGCAGCGAGCCCCGGGAAGGGCACTAAATTGAAAAACGCGCATGTTACGCGAATGCGTGAGTCCTGCATAATTCGCCAGGAAGTCTCGAGCGAGAGCGCGATTCCTCAGTAAATTCTGAGGAAGACCCAGGCGAGAGGGCGATTCCTGAATGGCGCCAGGGGCGCAGTTTGAGCAGCAGGATCTTCTGGGTTTAAACACAGGGTCGAGCCCTGGGAGGGGCACTTCAAATGAAAAAACACATCTGTCACCGGAGGGTGGGGATCAACAATAATCATTTTCAGTCGAGGGAATTCAACAAACAAAGACAAACACCTCACAGGGCAAGTCTTCGAAGGTGATACGACCTCGTCCCAGGATCGGCCTATCACCCGAGGGTTTGGGCCACGAGGAGGACGAGGAGGTCACCGTTGGTTGGGCGCACAGGCTCGCGCGAGCGCATGCCAGGAAGGCGGGGTGGAACACGATGATGAACAAGCGGAAATATGGACGGCACTCAACACCCAAACAGACTTCACTGGTGAAACCTAAGACGACGCCAAGAAGAAGATGACATCGGATGAGGGTAAACCGAGAACCTCCGAAATCGGGCAGCTCTGAAGGATGTCTCGGGCGCCGCGGCCTTCTCGGAACGTGGCGGAACGCCCTGAGAGCGTTCTAGAACGCTCTTGAACGGATTGATCCTTGTCCTAGCCCTGTCCGAACACCACCCAGGTGTATCCTGGGGCCCCGGCCGGATGGAGGGAGAGAGTGAGATAGGAGGGAAGGAGGGAGAGGGAGGAAGGGGGCAGGATGGGAGGAAGCATGGGTGGGGGGGGCGACGAGGGGGCGAGCACGGGGAGGACTGAGGGAATGAGAGAGGAAGAGGAACAACACGAAAAAAGGAGTGCAGAAAGGAGGAGGATGGGAAAAGAGGAGGGACGGAGGAGGACCCTCACCAGCGAAGAGGCGGGAAGGGGGGGTGATTCGGCGGCCGCGGGGAGGGCCTCCCGCATGGCCAAAGGCGCCGTCGGCCTCGAGAACTTTGTCTCTTCTTCTACGTGACTCGTCATCCTCCCTCCCTCCCCCTTCCTCCCTGGTCCCTGCCTCCACCTGCCTCTCGTTATTATTCCTCACCTCCTCCCTCTTCCTCCGCGTCCTCGTCCTCCTTCTCCTCCTCCTTCGCCTCTCTCAACCGCTGTCCTTCTCCTCCTCCTGCTGCTCCTCCTCCTCCTCCTCCTCCTCCCTCATCCTCAGGCCTCTCCCGCCCCCCCCTCTCCTCATCCCTCCTCCTCCTCCTCCTCCTCCTCCTCCTCCTCCTCCTTCCTCCACCTACTCCTCCTCCCGCCTGACTGCTCCTCGTGCTCATCATGCCCCTGCTCATCCCCGTCCAAGTCCTGCTCCTCCTCCTCCTCCTCCTCCTCCTCCTCAATTTCGGGTTGGGGGGTGTACGGGCCACATTGGTGGTTTCAATGTTGTGGGACGCTTCCCCACTAGGATGGGGGACAACTTAGAGACTGTGGGAAAGGTTGGGGTGGTCCGGTGGGTAATGGTAATCATCCCTCCTCCTCCTCCTCCTCCTCTTCCTCCTCCTCCTCCTCCTTCTCCTCCTCCTCCCTCTCCTCCTCCATTCCTTTCCTAATGACAAACTTCCCTACCGCACCCCGAGGCCAGTCGGAAGGGTGGGCGGGGCGTTCTGTCTGAGACTTCCTTACCGCTTACGAGCCTAAAGCTTAAAAACTGGCAGCAGTTTCATCAATGGAGGGAAGGTGGTTTTCAACATGTGGCTGTCGCCTTAGCGCCGCGCGCACTCCTTTAAACCATGTATTACAAAATATTCAAGGAATGAGGGCAGGCAATCTTCAAAATATGGCTCTCGCCAGAGCGCCGCGCGCATTCGTGATAAGATATTGCGATCGCTTCAAGGCTTGAGGGCGGGTGGTTTTCAAACGACGAAATTGCTCTCGCCTGAGTGCCCCACACACTCGTGCAAAGCTGTTGCAAGACCTTCACGGGCTGAGGGCGGTTCGTTTTTCAAAAGGTTGGTCTCGCCTTAGCGTCGCGCACATTCGCTTCAAGTATTTGCAAATCTTCACGGACCGAGGGCGGGCGGCTTTCAAAATGTAGCTCTCGCTCTAGCGCCACGTTCAATCGTCTTGAAAAACGCAAGAGCTTCGCGGATCGAGGGCGATGCCCTTTCAAGAGAAGGCGTTCGTCGCAGCGACGCGCGCACTCCTTCGACAAATGCGCCCTCGTGCCACACATTCTCATGGTTGACGTGCCAGCAACGGCGTTCTGGAGCAACTCAAGATTGCCAAGGCGCAGCAGCCACGTTGACCCGCGGTGCTGACGTCCCAGGACGGGTGTTCCGGCACGGCTCTGGGCCGCCAGGACGCAACAGCCAGGTCAACTCGTGGCGATGACAATCTTAGGGATTCGCCCTCAAAAAACAAGGGAATCCCTAAGATTGGCATCGTGATGAGGAGGTGCCCAGCATAGGGATAGGGATATGTTCCAGGCTGGTAATGGGAGTAGTGTGTTGGCACGCCGCAGGATTTCCACACAACTGTCTTCCCAACGGGGCAAATTCCCCTCAGCGGAAATTAACCTCTGCAGGGGCCATGAAGGAGGAGCTTGGAGGGAAGGCGTACTCCAACGTCGTTGCTGAATGTTGGCTTTTCCGCTGGTCTTACTCGCCCTCCTCCTCCCTCCCCTCCTCCTGCTACTCCTCCGCCTCCTCCTCGTTTTCCTCCTCCTCCTCCTCGTTTTCCTCCTCCTCATCCTCCTCCTCCTCGTTTTCCTCCTCCTCCTCCTCCTCCTCGTTTTCCTCCTCCTCCTCCTCCGCCTCCTCCTCGTTTTCCTCCTCCTCCTCCTCCTCCTGCCGAGCTGAAGGCGCAAGAATCCGTCGGACGCCCCCCCCCCCCTCCCAGGGCCGGCCGGCCCTGGGGGGGCAATCGTACTTCAGCAAGGCGATTCCTGGAGCGTTCCTTCCAGGAGTCGAGAGATTTGTAAAAAGGTAATAAAGAAATGGACGTCGATTGCTAGCAGGAAGGAGAACACAACGAGGGACGAAGGAGGAAAAACAACCAGGAGAGAGAGGGAGGAGAGTGGACGGCTCAAGCTCGAAAGCCACCCCCCCGTTCATAAAAATAGATTGGGTCGGTTATGGCAAAGGCGATCGCCCTGGAACTTCCCAAAAACGGTTCCGCGAACTCCCGCGAATCTCCACTTCGCGGGTTTTGCCCCTGTGGACTTCGGAATGTCTTCAAATAAGTATAGATGAGTTATGGACGACTCTCTCTGATTAGAACATGAACTAATGATGTGCAATTATACATTCCAATTTGCCGTGACGGGGTGATTTAATGGTGACCGCATGTTTTCATACTTCGTGGATGGACAGACCCCCCTCTATAAAAACGTGGTTTAGTGAAAACGACCGCAGGCCCAAACCTGGCGGGCGCGAGCCTGGAAAATAACTGCCACGGCGCCCTCTCGAGAACCGAAGACGGACAATTCACGAATCGACGTGTCACTGTTGGGGGTTCTGTCCGCCCCCGAAGTTAATGATGTGCAATTATACCTTCCAGTCTGCCGTGACGGGGTGATTTAGTGGTGACCGCATGTTTTCATACGAGTGTCCTGATCTCGCCAGCGCGGCTCGCAAGAGTCAGGGCGAGCCACCGACACGGGGGGGAGGTGTCCGACACGGTACCCCTC